CTTTAGCTTTAGAGCCTGTCCCATTTTCTGCAATCTCCAGTGTTAAGTATTCACTCTTTCACCCCTGATAAACAGAAGGGAAGCAGGTCTGAAGTGCTTCTGCAGTCTCACCTTTCATGGAGGCTCTTGAGGCTAGAAAAACGCTTATTTTAGGGTGTTTAAATTGTTTATTTCTTGGCCTAGTAACACGTTGGGGCTTTTTTTTATTGACTGCATGCATGTACAACTGGCTTGGCAAGTTTCTCTGGTGGAAGTATAACTACCAGGAATTTTCTTTCTGGAGCTTTCAAAGATTATCAGTGCTTAGGATCTAGTCTGTCATTGAGGCAACTGAGATTCTCCATTTGGAGTAGGATGGGGCAAGGCAAATGACCACACAGGGGTAAGTCAAAATGTATTTTCTTTTACAGATCCAATGGGACAAGATTTGGAAAAAGTAGAATACTTTAGGACCATGATGAACATATTTTGCCTTATTTCACCCTAAGAGCCTTAGAATACAGCTTCCCATAAAGCATGGTAAGCTAGGTCTTAGATGAAGTAACGTTCACGCATATTTCTGCTGGTCTATCCCTCAGTTCAAAGTGGAAGATGCTAATTATGCCTGTCCATCTTATCAATTCACCCTCATTTTTCCACATGTAGAATAAAGCACCTCCGCTAGATCTTGGAAACTAGAAGCAGTTGTGCATTTGTCAGGGCGTCAATAGCAAAAAGACAAGATACTAAATTATGATAATCTGAGGAGGGTTTAATTAGAAAGATATAGGTGGTGTGTAGGGGAACCACAAAAGGTAATGCAGAAAATCAGGGCTAGCAGCATGGCAGCAGAAGACTTGTCACCATAAATATAGACTTGGAGAGATGAGAAGAAACGGGTTACTGAAACAAGAATGGGAAATAAGTTAAAAGAATAGATCATCTTGAGGGGAGCAGGAACATTCAATGGAGGCGCATAAGCCAACCTGAGTTCACTACATGTCCCCCCATGAAAATAAATTACCCTAACGTCAGTCTTGCCTTTCACTCTTCTATCCTGCTGAGGGTATCCCATTGGTTGAACTCAACCAGAGGCCAGAGGGCACAGGGACCCGCTAGGGCAGAGAAGAGGGCAAAGAATGCCATGAGAATCTGGAAGAGGAAAACAAAAAAGAGATCTGACATAAAATGGTATCATGTCAGCAATTTGTCATCCTGTTAGGCCATGTGTTGGGCATGCTATGCACTCATCGAGAAAGAGAGTCAAGGTTACATAAATGTGATTTTAGCTTTCCATGTGTTAGGGAACAGTTTGGTAAGCCAGCTTCCTCTGGACAGCTAATGCTGCAAAAAGCTTCATGATATATCCTAGTCTAACCTAGAATTAGTAAGATTTGGTAGTCAAGATAGAAAAGCATACTTCTTCATAGAAGTATATATTATAGTGACTACGTATCTTTCTGGTTGAGTTGGTTTTGGATTGTTATCTGTCATGATGCTCTACAGCTAGTGAATATCTAATGAATGTTTGTTGTTGTGGAACTTGGGAGAGAGGACTGTCTGGATTTATTCCTTCAGTGTCCCAACTTATGAGTACTTCCAGTACAGAAGCCTTCCAAACATCCTGAATATACTCTAGAAACCACTGCTTTAAAATAAATGATGTATGACTTATAAATATTATTCAATTTATTTTGGAGCTGCCTAGGGATGAAGGTGTGTGTATAGTCCAGCATGAGAACAAGAGCTGTTCTGCTAAAGAAGCCAACTGAAGTGTTGACCAAACGAACGTAATTGCTCTTTGCTTGAGAGGCATGGGAAGTACTACCACAGCCAATTCCTAATCAGGCTCTTAAGAAAATCTTTGACAGCAAAGCTGTCCTTTATTTTGGATGCAGACATTGGGAAACTGAGCCACCTCTTAAAATACTTGCTGTCGATCTTTATGAGTAAAAAAGAATGCATGAAGCTTAAAACAGGGAATCTGGAGGCAGAGCTTCAGACAACTTCACCACCACCATCAAAGATGAGCTCAACAAATTATTACACATGCTTGTTTATTTTTAGATGCAATAGTGCCCTCTTGTGATTAACATATGAATACACTTCTGATGGCTTGGTATAACCAGGGAGTTTTCAATTAACCATGCCAATTGAGGCAAAGAACTTCACTGACACAAGAAATAGAAAGGGTTCTTCAAATTTGGCCAAATGGGAAAATACACTGTACAATCACAGAGTGTCCAGCAGAACTTCTTTTGGAAGCTCAGAAGTGATGAGTGACACCAACAATATATATAATATATTAATAGGGTGGGTAATATATTAATTGCATGGGTTCATATTAGGGTCTATACTTCTGAAAATTGTTTTGGTTGCTTCATATTTTAATTGAACTAAAAATTTTCTTATAGAGGCTTTTAATGCCTCTTACTTTTAGCAAGTTCTCAACTGGAGAGCTACATGTGTTCATTCTTAATCATCAGGAATATTAACTCACTAATCTGCTTTAAACATTATTAATGAATTCTCCCCTAAATAGAAAGTAGTTCTGCTTCCTTTCTCAGCCAGCAACACAATATTGTTAATAAATGTATTATCTCGAAAATACTTTCCAATGGGTTGTTTTGTTTATTAGAAAAAAAGTTTGCATTCCTCTACGTTTTCTATCAGCCATGAGAGTAATCAAAGTCTGCAGAAACTTCTATGGGAGCTGCTCAAAGTGATTCTTTGAGAAAAGACTGCTTGCTGATGTGCAGATATGTAGTCTATCTGGAAATGCACAAGTTTTTACACATAGCCTGAAGAGATACACAACAATGCATTCTTATGACATATGATATCTTTAATTAAGTTGATATTGGTGAGTTAAAAAACATGAAGTGAAAAGAGGACAGCTAGGGAAATAAGGTACTCTATGACTATTTATAATAAAATGTTTAAAATAAAAAAGAGGAAGGAACATCAATTGGCTTCGTAATTGAAGAGAGAAGACTAACCAAGTATGGTCTTCCCAGTTCTCATACAAGCAGAGACCACAGGAGAATAATTCTTACAGAAGAAGCACAGGGAACAAATCATCATTTTTTTTTGCATATTTTTGTTTCTCAAAATTATTTGGGAGAACTTTGCTTAGTAAAGGATGAGCAAAAACAAGATGCAAGAAACATTAAAAAGTGGGGGGCATCTGGTATTAAGAGTCTTGAAGAATACAGCAAAAGAGAAATTGCTCTATTAGATATTATAATTTGGCATGTAACATGAGCATTTACAATTCTGATTAAAGTGACGAAAATGAACTATTTTTTTTTCAAAAAGTCAAATACGAACTTAGGGAATAGAAATAAAAATAAATTTACTCTTGGTAGTAACTTGATGCAAGGATAGAAGTCCTCTCACTTTGATAAACATGGATACAAACTCTTGTCTATATTGTAGGTTTTCCTAGGTTGTCTGGAAAGAGTGCTTCATGTCAGGCCACATCTAAATGACTCGACATTTTAAGCTAAAAGGCTGTTTACACAATATACACATTCTTTACTTACAGAGCAAAATAAGCTTAACACTTTTATATTAAACACCTGGGATACAGTAGGATTAGTAGCACCATGAAAAATAATTATTCCCCCAAACTGCAGTCTTCTATTTTACTCAGTGTGATTCTTCTCTTAATTGAATTTTTAATGTGCTGTTTTAGTTACTGGGCAAAATATATATCTTCATCTTACAATCCTTGGGGAAAGTCATTCTGGACCCAAAAAGTAAATTCATTTCCTTATTTCATTCATACAAAGATAATAGAGACCTTGCTCTGGCACATTGTTGAGGTACATCTGAATCTTCATGGTTACTAGTCAGCATGTCCTCTTGGTCATATATAGTAGCACCATTGGTGGCAGCATTGGTAAAGTTGGGAAGAGTGAGACTTTGCATCCTGGGAATTTT